AGCCAAGCCGAATACCTAACAGACCTCATGTGAAATTTTTGTAAATATTGCTAAGAATTCATTATTTAACAGAAAGCATTTATGACAAGGCGCTTTCACAATACTCAGTTTCCAAATCTTTCTGTTCATTCTAATGGAAAGCCCAGCACGGTCTGCATACTTTTTAGCAGCCTCAGCAGATTAATATATTAGGGTGTTTCCATTTCTGCTAGGAGAGTATAGAATTTGCATAGTTAGATTAAAAATACTTGTAAGAGGAAATAAAAAATAAAAGTGCTTTGTTTTGATTAGTACTAAATGTAATAAATACTTCATAAAAAATATGTCGTCACTGGCAGTGGACTCCTTTAAACATTATAGCCACCAGGACTCTGTTTACATGTGTAAGGCAGACTGTCGGCTTTACACTGGAAATTATTCTAGCAGCTGGGCTGCCGCCAGATCGCTTCCGGGAGCAGGTGTAGTGCACATCTGTTTGCCAATCTCCTCTCCGCTGAATAGGGATAGAAGCGACGCTGATTGCATCACTTCCGGTCCCTCAGCTGGGGCTGGAGAAGGGGGGGTATGCATTTATGTTAAAAATAATCTAAATATGCATATAAGGGACGATATCACGTCAAATAGTGGGGAGGACGTGGAATCCTTACGCTGGAACTGGATACAACGGACGATAGTCGTAAACCAATTGTGGGTATTTGTTATAAACCTCTAAATATAGGGGAGGAGGGGGAGGCTCATCTACAGTCCGAAATAGAAATAGCTGGGAGGGAGGATATCTGAACATGTTGCGAGACAATTTCATGGACCAGATTGTTGTGGTCCCAACTTGGAAAAATGCCATCCTCAATTTAATCGTCACTAATAATGCAGAGTTAATTGAGGATATTGTAATTGAGAGACACTGGGCAATAGTGATCACAATGTGATCACAATATTGAATACAGGAAAGGAAAGCGGACTGGTAGGACAAAAACCCTTAGTTGTCTATTCACGAAGCTGCCGAAGGATCTGGCCGTAGCTTTGGCCGATCCTTCGGCTAGCTTTGGCCCCAGGACCCCATCGGTTCAGTAGAACCGAAGGGGTGCTGTACGGGCTATTCACAGTAGCCCGTACAGATCCCGAACATGGCCGAGCGGCTCAGCCGAGCCGAACGCATATGCATCGGCTCGGCTGAGCCGTGCTGAAAGCCGAAGCTGGCCGAGCGGCCGGCCGTTGGCCGGCCGACAGCCTGCTTCTGACAGCTGGGCGGAGCCAGCCGTGATCTTACGGCTGGCTCTGGCCACTTGCAGAGAGATCAGCGTCCCTGGTTACCTGTTAACCAGGGACACTGATCTCCAAACAGCTAACTCTCCCTGGCACCCCGGGAGTCTCCCGCTCCCGACCGTCAAGGAGAGAAACACTGATGTGTCTTTTTTTTTCTTTATTCTGACATGAGCGATGTCAGAATAAAAAAATAAAAAAACTAAAGACACAGCAGTGTTTCTGCGGGAGGCTCCCAGAGCGCCCGGGAGAGTTTGTTTTTTTTCGTTATTTTTACAGCAGCAGAGCCGCCGGACAATAGGAAACTAATCGTTTTCTATTTACTTTTTTTACCTTTTTTAACTCTTCTTCTGTTCTGCTCGGTCCCTCTGAGGGACCGAGCAGAACTGCTGTTCGGCATCTTTAAGAGTAATAAGCCGTACCAGCCTGAAGTGAATAGCCGAACAGTGTTCGGCTCACTTCAGGTCGGTCATTCACTCGGCTGCCTACGGCAGCTTAGTGAATAGACCCCTTAATTTCAGAAGGGCTAACTTTGATAAACTGCGCCACCTAGTGGGGATATCAAAAGGGAAAATGTATTTCATAAACTGAAGTCGGACCAAAAGTGGGAATGTTTTAAAAACACATAACATATTGTCATTGCCAAATGTATACCGTTGGGTAATAAAAGTAAAAGATCACAAACAAAACCTGTATGGCTGAATAAAAATGTAAAGCATCACATAAAGGAAAAGCGAATGGCATTTATAAAATATAAGATCGAGGGGGCAGCATTGGCGTTCCATAACTAGAAAGAAAGCAATAAAAGATGCAAACTAGCAATACGGGCAGCTAAAATAGAGTGCGGAAAGCATATTGCCACAGATAGTTAAAAAAAAATAATAATAATTTTACCAATACATAAACAGTAAAAAGGGGAGAAAGGAGCAGATAGGCCAAATAAAGGACGAAAATGGGAAGTTAGTCACAAATGACAAGGAGAGGGCAGAAGTACTGAACTCTTTTTTCTCCTCAGTATACACTCAGGAGGGAAACGGGTTTGACATCTATGATGAAACATCACAAAATATAGCCAATTGTGCCAGGTTGCTGTAAGCAAAGCTAGTAGAGTCCTGTCCTGCATCAAGAAGGGAATGTTTTGCAGGGATAAGTCTATAATTTTGCCACTTTACACATCACTGGTTTGGCCTCACCTGGAGTATGCGCTGCAGTTTTAGGCACCGGTGCACAGAAGGGATGTCCTTGAGCTGGAGGGAGTCCAGCGGAGGGCAAACAAACTCGTCAAAGGGATGGAGGACCAGAGCTATGAGACACGGCTACTAAATTTAAATATGTTCATGCTGGAAGTAAGGAGATTAAGGGGGGATATGATTTTCATGTACAAGATGTTCTATAGTCATAGCAACATTAGCAACAACTCTCTAAGATTAATTCCGTAACAAAGACTAGAGGCCACCACCTAAAACTGGTAGAAAAAAAATTCAAACACAAGGGGCGAAGGGGGTTCTTCTCAGTTCGAGCGGTTAGGGTCTTGAACTCGTTGCCACAAGCAGTGATTTCAGCAAATAGTGTGGAATCATTCAAGAAGCTTTTGGACGATTTCCTGAGAGACCGTAATATACAGGGGTATAGGACCTATACACACACACACAATAGGTTGGACCTGATGGACATATGTCTTTATTCAACCTCAAATACTATGTAACTATGTAAAATAAATGTAAAAATAAAGAAAAATAAAATCCTCCGACCCCGCAAGCTTATTAACGTAAACACATGTCGAGGTGCACCTACGTACGAAAACAACTACAGCAAAAGGAGAGCAATAATTCTAGGGCCAATAAACACAGATATCTATAAAGTGATGACCTGATGGGCTTTTAAAGTGTTACCTATGGACAGTTTGGAATACTATATTTTGTCACGGATGCACGCAAGTTTTAACCTGGGAATGTTGGGTATGTATTTACTTGTAGTATATATGTTTTTGAGCACCAAAAATAATTTAAGTGTAATTTTTACAAAATGTTGGGGTTTGATAAAGAGTTGTGCTGATTTTCTACAATGTACAAATTTAAAAGTGCCACCATTTTATTCTACAATGTCTGTGCTTTCAGAATATACAGCCAAAAATAGTGGCACCCCTGCATTTCTGTCAGATAATGCACCACTTCACGCAGAAAATTGTTTCAATTACAAATGTTTAGTCATTCTCATGTTTATTTCTTTTGTTTGTTTTGGTATGGCACAAAAAAGTGGAGAAAAAAAGCCAAATCTGACACATTCCACACAAAACTTCACAAATGGACTGGGTACAAGTATTGGCAATTAATATTTGGTAGCACCGCCCTTGGAAAAAAATAACTGAGATCAATTGCTTCCTGTAACCATCAATGAGTTTCTTACACCTCTCTACAGGAATTTTGGACCACTCTTCTTTAGCCAACTGCTCCAGGTCTCTCAGATTGGAAGGGTTCCTTTTCCCAACTGCTGTTTTGTGATCTCTCCACAGGTGCTCTATGGGATTTAGATCTGGACTCATTGCTGGCCAGTCCAGTACTCTCCAGCGCTTTGTTTAAAACCATTTCTGGGTGCTTTTTGATGTGTGCTTTGGTTCATTGCCCTGCTGTAAGACCCATGACCTCTGACAGAGACCCAACTTTCTGACACTGGGTCCTATATTGCACCCCAGAATTCTTCGGTAGTCTTCAGCTTTCATAAGGCCATGCACACAGTCAAGACATCCAGTGCCTGAAGCAGCAAAGCAACCTAAAAAGAACAGTGAACCTCCATCATGTTTGACTGTAGGGACTGTATTTTTTTCTTTAAAGGCCTCATTTCTTTTTATGAAAATAGTAGAGTGATGGGCTTTACCAAAAAGCTGTAATTTTGTTTTGTCAAAAAGCTATTAATTTTGTGTCATACCAAAACAAACAAAAGAAATAAACATGAGAATGCCCTAAACATTTGTAAGTGCAACAATTCTCTGTGCGAAGCGGTGCATTATCTGACAGAAATGCAGGGGTGCCAATATTTTTGGCCATGACTGTATATATACTGTTTGGGGGGGGGGGGGTTAAGTAATTTTCAAGCCTAAAAAAGAAAGTGAAAAGGTTATTGAGTTTAATGCATCAGAAATATTCTAGTATTCATAGTGTGAAATATTTTTTTATATGTATATATCACATTTTATTTCCTATTTTGGATTATAATTTCTCTTTAAATTTGAAAAATAGGAATAAAACCTCTTTTATGGCTGGTTGTGAAGATTTACATTCAATTAACAATACAGCTGTCCAAAAAAAATAATCCATCATCACAATAGATCAATATAAGATTATAATAGTAAGCTAAAGCAGATTAACAAAAAAAGCATTTGCTTTAGCATAGTAATAGGACAATAGATGTGAGATGCTGGTCCCTATCATGGAAACAAGCTCTGATTTCCAGAGGAGATAGGAGCCTTCTGTTATGTTTGATATGCAGAACAGTATGATAGTAATTTAAGCAGGCACCAGACTAGCATGATTGATATCTCTTCTATTCTTTGGAAGCAACAGGCTTTATACAAAATAAATCACATTCACAGCCTGTTCATGTATTGAAAGTAGAATGCGTACAAAAGATGACCCCTGCATCTGAGCAAATGTGTAGATGTTTTTGATACACTTGTCTATTCACATTGAAAGCATGCAGGTATAATTATATCAAACACATGATCAATAGAGTGCTCTGCTTACTGTACTGGCAGTTCCTTCCCATGTATTCACCAGGGCATTCACACGAGTAGTTGGCAACCAGGTCTGTGCAGATTCCACCATTCCGACAAGGCTCCCTTTCACATTCATTGACATCTGTAAAAATGTTTATACATGATTAAGACTGATATAAACTATAACTAGACAAGGAATGTAAGCAAGATAAATCCATCAATAAACAGAACATGCTGCAAATTGAGTTGGAAAGATTCTCACATGACAAGACAATAGTAATAGAAGCCCCAGGGCCCTGGTGCTAAATCTGTAAGGTAAGTCAAGTAAATAAAAGCAACTCTCCCCACCGATAATATAATATTCTCGCTTCCCACAGCATTTCTATCTTACAGCAACCTGTTTTCCTCAGTTCCACATACTTCTATGCACAAATACAGTACACTAAGTTCAGTATGGGTTGACCATTATTCTCTTTGGGCATGACTGGCCCTGTATTGAGCAGAATGGAATGCCACAAGATTGAACTACTGCCAATGCAGTGAGACCAATTTGCCTACATCTGAGGTCTCTAATATCATTGTCACCAGTTTTCTATTCAACTGAATATAAACTAGAAGGCACCTAGACCCTGGTATTAAAAAAATTTCTACGGGTCACGTTCAGGCATCTTATCTAGCACTACAGCAGCCTTTAGTACCCTGCTTTTGAATGTTAGACCCACTGCACACATATTCCTATTGGCCCATCACTATTATGCCTCAATAGCCAATAAAAATGTGCAGGAGGCAGAAAGGGGCGGCAAACAGTTGTAAAAACCAGGATACATTAATAGAGTGTACTGCAGGTATGTGTAGGCAACTCTAGTTGTCTGCTCTTTATACAGTACCTACAGCAGTCTTTTTAATTTTTATGACAATATAAGGATATAAAGATAGCGCAGTGCACTTCATTATTTCTTTTTTTTCCCCTTGCCAATATGCATGTTTTTGCTTCCTTTCACTTTCACTATAGCAAAAATCTTAAAAAGTTTTGTTGCATCATATGTTTCTTCGGGATACCTTCCCTTCTATTTTCAATTGTTGCCAACTATGCAGGAGATCCTGCATATCAGGTGGTTTGATATGCTAAGTTCAGTTTCTCTGAACTAAGTTGCTAGTCATATACTTACACCTGATGATATCCACCTTCCACCAGACAATTCTGCCTAAGAATGCGTGGTGGTAAATTTCATGAATAATAATTTTGTTGTTGGGGAGGTATTAAAAATTGATCTGACCTGGGTGCCAGAGATGATAAATATGCCACTGACTAACCCTTTATAAAATAAAAAAAATGGAAGCAGCAACACACACAAGATTACAGTCTTATTGTCAGGAAAACAGGGAAATGCTTTTCTGAATAGCAAAATCACACACATTTGTTTGACTCACTGGGTACTTATTTTTATTTGTAACTGTTTAAAAAAAAAATATAGCCAAATTCCTTTTTTTGGCTTTAGTTCCCTTTTGGGTCACAGGAGGGCATTTACGAATGTATTCTTGTGACCAAAACTTAACATATAGTGGGCTACTGCCCGCTATATGCTGACTGTGCAGAGCTGTGCTGCGCTGTGCACCCCACTGCCTTATTCATAGCCGGCTTTGCCTCTCCAGAGGCAGAGCCAGCTGTGCTGCCCCCACCCCTGTCTGTCCCTCCAATGAGCGCTGGAGGAACAGAGAGAGGGAATAGGGGGAATCCCTGTGGGGAACGGTGACTGAGCCATGAGCTGAGCAATCAGCGGTTTGTGATCACTCAGTCCTCGAGCTATAGGGCCAGTGTGTGAAAGCCGCAGTGTCACACGTCAGCTCAAACTATTGGGAGGATGCGTTTTACTCAGCCAATAGTTCTCCTTTACAAATGACAGCTAAAATTTGATTGGTAGACAGAAACAATTCCTCAAAGTGTTTCCCCTAGTTTTTATATATAATTTTTTAGTATTTAGAGATTAATCTCAACAATTCATCATAGAAATGTTTTCTTTGCAGTGAGAAATCTTTGAATGTATAGTCAAGATATTGAATTCACCTACTTGACATTGTATTTATAATTATAGCCATTGTGTTCTATATTGGTTTGCAGTTTAAAAATGAGCTCAATAGAAACAGCTGACAAAGACGGAAAAACTGTAGAAAGCACTGTGTGCAGTGTATGCAGATTATGTTTCATGATAAAGTTTGCTACAGGTCTAGTGATTCAGAAAACTTTAGAGCGATTGTCACTTAATTACAGAGTTAGTTTGTAAAGCTGCCTGCTATTATAGGTGGTGGGAGATGGATGCTGGAAACTCACAGATATATATATATTTATTCACATACTGTGTATTTGTACATTCTTATTTTTTGGAGTATATAATTACTCACAATGTAAAGATGCAGATATTTTTTTTAATTAAAAGGTATATGCTATGCAGTTTTACAACTGCAAAAATATACCTGGGAGGCCAAAACTAGCTATCATCTTCAGTGAACCCGATTAAAGTAATTGGCTATTTCTATTACAAGTGCTTTTCACAAATTGCTTAACTCAGTCATTCAGGGAAAAAAATGTCCTTTAACTAAATTTGTCTGCACCAAGACACACCATTTTGAAATTATCATTATATGGTTTATTCAGTGGAATTGTTGACCCTTTGTGCCACAGTACTCTGGAGGAAGTGTGGGGGATTTGAGGGCATATGCTCATTTTAATCTTTCAGAGAAATGTAACAAACACAAAAATAATCCTGGGCCACAAATGGCTTTATTTTACAGTATGCATTGGGTTTTGAAACGCATTTAGTGTTGGCATACAAACGAAAACACTAGATAGGTAGATAGAGATAGATAGATAGATAGATAGATAGATAGATAGATAGATAGATAGATAGATAGATAGATAGATAGATAGATAGATAGATAGATAGATCAATCTGCTATATTCAAGGTGTTTTTGCACACAGATTGAAAAAGAATCTCAACATGTCTCCTTTAATCCCCTGTACAAATCATACTCACAGAGAGAGTGAGGGATAACACTTTTAGCTTGCACAGCAATGCCAGTCTAACACTGGAATCCTCCAGACAGGAGAACAGTGATGACCTCATCAGCGTTCTGCGGTTCCTTTTACATTATGTCCAGTTACAATCTGCAGGGAGTTCTACAGAGAGTAAGAACCTGGCTCAACTGTTTGGCAGTGATTTTGGAATCACAAAACTGTCTGACAAGAATTATGAATGCAACGGCAAATCTGACAGCACATATATGGAATTCAGTCATGTCTTTAGCTGGTTGCCTTAAAGGAGAACTATGAGGTGGGTGATTTTCACTCATCCTCATAGTTGGAGCCGATGTGTGACAATTAAACTTTCAAACGTCGACTCTATTGATCGGGAAGTGAGCAAACACATACCATTTCTCGCTCACTTCCCAATCATCTCCTTGCAGAGAGCCGTGACTATCAGTCACCACTCCCTGCAGGGATTCCCCCTCCCCTTCCTGCTCCTCCAGCGCTGTCTGGAGGAATGGACAGGGGATGGGGTGAGCACAGCTGTCTCTGCCTCTAGATAGGCAAAGCCAGCTGTCAATCAACCAGCTGGATGGATCTTGACAGTATTGTTGGGATCCATCCCAGCTGTGGGATGGATCCCACAGCCGGGATGCTCGCTATATACTGAACTTTGGGTCACGCGAGGATGTTAGTATATGTCCTCCTGTGACCCTTAAGAGAACTATGGGATAAAAAGGTAACCCATAGTTCTCCTTTATACTTAGCTTTAAAATGGAAATATGTTTATTAGATTATTTTTGGAACCTTCACCTCAAAGTAATTATCATTGTAACTCCATCCTCATGACATAAAAAATGACTAAGAGGTGTTTTGCTATTGAATTGGTTAGGGTTTGGTTACAGTGAACATTTTGCTGAAGCTGGAAGAAATGTAATATATTTGGGAAGAGAAAGCCTTTAAAGTTGTCATCTTTTTTAATCGCCAATTACTTATGGGTCACATGGTGCCATTCTTTATTTGATAAATAATATTTCAAGTGACAAAGAAAAATTAGCACTTTTGTCTCCACCAACCCAGCAGATGAATTATAAGCCGAATTGTAAAGGAAAATGATGTCCCAATATATTTGCAGCACTGTGGAAATGGGAGATAGTTGGAATAATGCAGCAGTGCCATCAATAAAGAATGTAATTGATGAAATATGCTCTATTACACAACTGTCCCTAGCTGCTCATATGAATAGCAGTACACATTTATTCTATTCACCCTGGACTGCATGTGATGGCTCTTTCACTTCACACTTGTCCTACATCTAAGATTTACTGCTCTTTCAAGACAATTAAGTTCACTCCATATTATATTTCTTATTAGCAATAGCTCAAATGCCAATTAATTTAAGTTTACAGTTACGACCTTATAAAATATCAAATGTTTTTTAACACTTCTACACCCTTTCCACAATACCTATTAATAAACCTTCAGGAGGCAGCTTCCATTTGGCATGCATTGTATTTATGCTATCAGCACCATGGATAGCTCAGGTCATGACTAGTGTATTTTGTCATTTAGATGGCTGTTTACTGTCAAGTATGTCGTACGTGCTCAGGAATACTTTGACTTATTTCGATTATTAGATTCTTTGGCTGAATAAATTCAGCTAAGGAACTTACTGAATCAAGTTAATCACAAAACCAGTTTAATTCAATGCCCTGAAACAAGGCAACTATAGGTGTTTAGGTAGCTACAGTTCAGCAAATTTGAGTCAGAGCCAAGAATAGACAGATCAGGAAAGGAATTGTATCATCATAGAATGGGGGCTTCAAACTTACATTGGCACCATAAAATATGAAAGAGACTGCAGTAGTCAAGGACTGCCTTTGCAGAACAAAAAACGGATTTTACGGATCTAGTGTATAGATCAGATGTAGAGATTATATAATTAATTTTTTAGAAAACATGTTTTGCAGAGTAGGCTGCTAAGAATTCTTAAGGGATCTATCCCAATGGATAGCAAACCATCAGTGGTATTTCTTTATGATGTGCAATCTTTATTTCAGTTGTTAATGCTTGTTTATAGTGTTGTATAGAGCAATAAATAATGCAGATTTTACTAGCC